ATGACAGCTTAATGGGGAGTTCTTTAAATAGGGTTTATTAGATGGCCAAAAAGCCACAATTCAACAATCAAGAAATGGGACAACTTTGGCTAAAAGTTTGCCACATCCTGGTTCAGTGGCAAAGTGAAAGCAGCAATTAGAAATAAAAAAAGCAACATATAACAAATGGAAAAAAGGAGAAATAGCTATCACTATAAATCAGAAGTTATGAAGTGTAGAAAGACAGGGAATAATCTACAGCTGGGGGCGGCGGGGCTAGAGACAGTAAGGTGTTCTTTAAGTATATTAGGATCGGCCAGGACAGCAGCGGGTCTTCTGCCACTGCTAGGGCCCCGGGCTGGGATGCAGTGGAGTGGGAGGGCCTGCGTCCCCCCTGCCACCCACAAGTTGGGTGGCAGTCTCCCCCTCTCCCAGGCCTTTTGAGGCTTGGGGCCTACTATTGTTGCTCAGCCCTGACTGAGGGCCTGAGCTCCTGACTCAACGTTTGTTGCCCTGCCCTGACCTAGGGCCTGGGCTTAATACCTTGTACTATTGTTGCTCAGCCCTGACTGGGGGCCTGAGCTCCTGACTCAGCGTTTGTTGCCCTGCCCTGCCCTAGGGCCCGGGCTTAATACTTTGTACTCGTTTGTTGCTCAGTCCTGACTGAGGGCCTGAGCTCCTGACGTAGCATTATTGCCCGCCCTGAGCAGGGCCGGGCTTACCGTGTTCTTCCGGTTACAGCAAGAGCTGCCGAGGGAGACCCCACGGCCGGACGAATTTCCCAAGCTCACCGGTGTGTAGTGAGCCGGTGTGGCTCCCCGCCGCCCCGGAGAGGGTCGAGCCCCGGCAAACTCTTGTGCACGGGTATATATTGAATTCCCGTCCACATGGTTTTATGGAAAATAGGTCTCGTCAAACAAACCTGAGTTGATTCTTTCAGAAGATTACAAGTTTGGTTGATACAAGCAACTGTGTACGTGTAATAGACTTGGGCTTTAATAAGGCATTTGACTTACTACCACACAGGATTCTGATTTAAAAAAATAGCATTAAACAATGAGCACACATTAAGGGGACTAAAAAGTGACTGACGGGTCTTTAATAGGGAATCATCAACGGATGGAGGGAGTTTGGAGTGGGATCCAGCAGAGGCCCAACATTAGTCAACATTTCATTAATGATCTGGAAGTCGATATAAAATCACTGCTGATCAGATTTGCAGATGCCACGAAGATTGGTGCAATGGCAAATAAAGATGAGGATAGGGCAGTCATACAGAGGAAAGTGGGCACCTTCCAACAGACTGCATTTTAATACAGCCAAATGCAAAGTTACGCATCCAGGAACAAAGAATGAAGGCCACATCCACAGAATGGAGGACTGTATCCTGGAAAGCAGCGACTCTGAGAAAGATTTAAGGAACACAGTGGACCAGCAATTCAACATGAGCTCCCAGGGGGAGGCTGTGGCACAAAGGGCTAGTGCAATCGTTGGACAGCTGTTTAGCGGCGCTTAGGATTTTCTGGGGGGCGGGGGGGGGGAGGAGTGGAGATGTGGGGCTGCCCCACTCCTGCCCCTCCCTCCCAGCACTTCACGCTTAGGACTTTATGGGAGGGAGGGGCAGGAACGGGGAAGCGCTGCATCTCTGCACCTCTCCCTCCCTTCCAGAAAGTCCTAAGCACTGCCAAACAGCTGTTTGGCAGCGCTCAGGACTTCGGGGGGGGGGGAAAGAGGGATGTGGCATGCTCTGGAGAGGAGGTGGAGTGGGGGTGGGAAGAGGTGGGCCTGGAGTGGAGCGGGGACAGGAAGAGGCGGGCCTGGAGCATTCCCGGCAAAGTCCGAGCCTGTTCTCCGGGGAAGCTGCCGCTGCTGCTGCAAAGGTGCTTCCTAGCGTCCTTGCGTGCAGAGGGCTGTGCCTGTGTGGGGTAAGCCAGGGGCACTTCCCAACCACAGTACAGTACTGTACAGTATACAGTATAATGCCTTTTGTCTGCCCCCCAAAAAATTCCTTGGAACCTAACTCCCCACATTTACATGAAATCTTATGGGACAATTGGATTCGTTTAACATTGTTTCACTTAAAGTTGCATTTTTCAGGAACATGACTACAACGTTAAGCGAGGAGTTACTGTACTGCACACAGTGCCGCTGTCCATATTTTTAAAAAGGATTTTGAAAAATTGGGGAGGGTGCAGAAAAGAGCCATAAAAATTAGCTGAGGGTTGGAAAAAATGCCGTACAGTGAGACACTTAAGAGCTCATTCTGGTTAGCTAAGTAAAAAGAAGATTAAGAGGCGATTTGATTTCAGAGAATAAGTACGTTCACATGAAGAACACGCCAGACACTAAAGGGTTCTTTGATCTCGCGGAGAAAGGCATAACAAAAACCAATGGCCAGAAGCTGAAGCCAGACCAATTCAAATTAGAAATAAGGCACAAATGTTTAACAGGGAGGGGGACTAAGCTCCGGAATGAATTACCAAAGAAGAGGTAGAGCCTTAATTTCTTGAGGTCTTCAAATGAAGACCGGATGCCCTCTGGAAGATACGCTTTAGCCACTCATAAAAGTTATTGGGTTCAATAGAGAGGGAACTGGGTGAGATGTAACAGCGTCTGATAGATAGAAGCCCAGACTAGATGATCTAACGGTTTGGGCTGGCCTTAAAATGGATGAATCTCTATGAATTGTTAAACAGTTCATACATGAACACGACACCAACGAGTACTCATCTTGGACATTTCTAGTGATCTGAAGATATGTAATATTAACCTTAAATAATATTCATAATCTTAACCTTTAGTGGCAGATTCACCAGTATACTCTGGCTGCTTTCTGCCACTCTGGAACAATGCAAAGCAACCAGTGTGTATGGGGCAGGTTAAACTGGGTTTACAGTTGCTCTGCATCGCCAGAGGAGCCCAAAGCAGTTGGAGTGTAGTGGGGAGTATGGCTTGTACTTTGTTTGAGCGATCCAGAATATTTTTTTCACATTTCATTCATATATTATACATTGCACGTACATTTCCAAGATATGAAACTGGAATTTTACTCTCTCTATCACGGACTCCTTCAAACAATAGAACTGTATCATGCACATTAGCTGTACAGAACAGATGGTAGTTAGTTGAATTATCTTTTATGGCGCAGTGGTTCCTTTTCAGAGCATCGTGAGCTGCCCAGTCTATATAATGACAATTAGACATAACACTTATTAATAACTTAGCTCAATTACAACTTCAGTTCTTCAACTGGAGCCTATCCAGGAGGTTTCAATACGTTTTAACGAGATGGACATTTTAAGAGTATGTTATTCTGTTAAGATCGTCCAGGATGAAGAATGAGCTGATAAAGTACAACATTTCTTAAACAGACCATTTACTTGTAAATTCTCAGAAAAAAAACTTATTCTGTCCACAAAGAATAAGTGCTGTAATTTTGGGGCTATATTCTTCCTACATAAACTGGTTGAATCCCTGCTTTAAGGGCAAAACTCAACTTTAAGTTAAGTTTTAACCATAACCAGTGCCTCCATATATACACATAAGTGTGTATGTTGTGTGAGACATATATAGGGCTTCTGATTTTTAGTTTTAACTGAAAAACACCCCCAATATAAAACAACAAAAAGCAGTGCTTATCCCCAAAAACACCAGAAATGGTTACTTGTACCCAAGGACTTGTCTACATGGAGCAGTAGAATGGCCTTCTATGGTGTGATCTCTAGAACACCCTAACATGCTGCATCTTACTTAGTCCATGTAGACCCTGCTGGTGTGCACTAAGGGTTCCCTAGTGCACTTTAAAATAGTACTGCAGTCATTAATATATTACTGTAATAAGTAAGGTATAAAATCGACATTATTCATTACAATACACACACAGAGAGAGACCCAATTTTTGGACAAAACTCAAATTGCTAAAAATAACCTCCCCACAGTGAAATTAATAATCCCCCCCAAAAAGAAGCCCTAGATAAAAGGGTGTGGAAGCACGTACACACACACACACACACACACACACACACACTTTAGCTTCTAGGGGAAAATCTTCTTTTGTAATTGAAACATTCTGCTGTGGTGCTGGACACTCAGAACACAATCCTATTGAGCTCTGACAAATGCCAGATAGTGCAACTAATGCATCTAGTTCAGACTGTCCCAATGGAGTAAAATGCAAAAATAAACAGAAACAACAAAAATGGCCACTGGTAAATTAGAGTAGATTATTAAAACTCAACATTTAAAAGCAGTGGTAGTAAGCAGAGTAAAGATTGTTTTGATTTATTAAATTTGAAAAGCGCAAAGCTTCAAGCCTTTGAATAATTACAATGTCTCCTGGCTGTGCTCTACTTATTTCAGAAGAGGTTTTAGAGTATTTTCTGAACAGGGGATTTTCCTTATTAGTTTTTATGCTACAGCAAATAAAATGTATTTTAGAAGCAATATTATAAGCATTTCCTTGTTCATTTTGTCTCATGGAATAACATTTCTAAAACTAGACAAACAGATTTAAAAGAGAAAGCTGTTCCCTAATGTTGTGTGTGTATGCTGTTCTGTAGACTCCCTTTGTATTCATTTTACTTTCATAAGCCACACAAACAAGAAGTATCCTATAATTGAAACTAATCAATTCTCTTAGCCAAGCTATGATCAAAATACAGAATGGAATAGCAGGCTAAGAAACATATATAATATCAAAGCACAGGAATCAAATACTTTCCATAGCCAAAGAATGGGGGGGAAAAAAAACCCCACTTCAATTATTCCTCTTCTCCTCTTGTGAGAGTGAATGGAATAATCATTTTACCAGGATGTTACAGTACAAACAAGGTGACAGCTCTTGTGGATGATGTGCTGGAATGTTGCTTTGGTTCTTGGCTTCCAGTTGCTTTTCAGTAGGTCTGAAAAAAGGCATTTAACATCACTAGCCCCTAGTAACAGCAGCTCTGCTTTGTGACATCATAGCCCCACATCATACATTAAACAATGCTGAAGATTCTACAACATCCAACTCAAGAGAAGCAGGGCATCTCAGATGGCCACCATGGAATATATAACAACAGGCTTCTGTCATACGTGATGCACAGTCAACTTCAACTTATGAATCACTTGTTGCCTCTGGCACCATGGATGATGCTGCAGTCCTTAAAAAGAGAGGCTACATCGTGGGGGAAAATTTGGGAGAAGGGTCTTACGCTAAAGTGAAATCTGCCTACTCCGATCGACTGAAATTTGATGTAGCAGTAAAGATCATAGACCGGAAAAAAGCTCCTCGTGACTTCCTGGAAAGATTTCTCCCCAGGGAAATAGAGATTTTAGCAAAAGTGAATCACTGCTCCGTGGTCAAGACCTATGAGATTTTTGAGACATCTGATGGCAAAGTCTACATCGTGATGGAGCTGGGTACAAAAGGAGATTTACTGGAGTTCATCAAGAGCAAAGGGGCTTTGGCTGAAGATGTAGCTCGCAACATGTTTCGCCAGCTGTCTTCTGCCATCAAGTACTGCCACGATTTGGATATTGTTCACAGGGACTTGAAATGTGAGAACCTCCTTCTAGACAAAGACTTTAATATCAAACTGTCAGACTTTGGCTTTTCCAGACGACTGACTCGAGATGAAAATGGCAAAGTTATTCTCAGTAAAACCTTCTGTGGTTCTGCTGCGTATGCAGCCCCTGAAGTGTTACAGGGCATTCCCTATCAGCCTAAGATTTATGACATATGGAGTCTGGGTGTCATTTTGTATATAATGGTCTGTGGATCAATGCCATACGACGACTCAAACATTAGAAAAATGCTAAAGATTCAGAAAGAACACAGAGTGCACTTTCCCAAGTCTAAAAACTTGACAGTTGAATGCAAAGATCTTATTTACCGCATGCTGCAGCCGGACGTGGCTCGGAGGTTGCACGTAGATGAGATTTTAAATCATATTTGGATGCAGACTCCAAAATCCAGAGTTCCTTCAGCAACTTCATTTGTAAAAGAGGGAGAGTGTTCTCGGAATCTTGGCAAGTTGAAGTCAGAGCACAAACAGGAAATAGAACCCCTGGGGGAATCTAAGCCAGATAGAGCAGATTACAAAACTGAGTCTAAAGCAGTGCCCAGATTGGAGGCAGTACCGGAAGCAGAGGATGCCGTTCCCGAGGAAGAGCAAGCGGAAGTTAATGACCTTACAGATGAAATGCAAAGAACGGTGATCACAAATGGCGATGACTAAAGAATAGCCACCTGCAAGAGTCGTTTGCATGGCTTCAGCGCAACTAATGAATAAGACTATGAAGTTAGTTTTGAAAAACAAGAGCCCAGAACAGGAGAAAGTAAAGTCCATTCATAACAAGCAATTATTTTATAGCAATTCTATTAAATTTTCTTCTAACTTGGTAACCATGTTGCTGAATTGAAGGGTTAAATAAGGAGATAGATTTTCCAAGCCACCTAATAGATTTGTATGCCTCAGTGACATAAGGCCTATGGAGTACTGTCGAATGCTGACAGAGCTGCGGTGAGTTAAGGTTTCTTTTCATCACCATCTCATGCCCCTTTCACATCTGGGCATTAAGAGTGGCAGCTAGCCCTCTCCAAGCCAGTTCTGTTACGTGCATAGAAAAGAAATGGTCATTGTTTCCTTTCATAGTCCAGTGCCGCAGTGGTGCTGGAGTTACTGGGTGTGGCAATTTCTCACCTCACTAAGATTTACTAAATATTCAATGCAGCAGCATCACAACAGCAGGTTTGGCAATTTTTTTTCTCCATTTTCTGATGCAAAGAAATGGATTTTGCTAAACCATGTCACAGTGTAAATGAAGCGCTGATATGCAATTGATTACAATATGCTTACCCATAGGGAAAAGGCAAACTGCACGACTAAGACCCCTCGATTTGTCATATTCTAATAACAGGGAACTATTATTGTTTAAAAACGCAGCAAAGGGGACGCCCTCCCCTTACAAACAGTAACTCGGCCCGGAAACGTGCCTCCTGTTAGAAGTAACACCTGAGATTCCTGTAACTCTAGATTTGCCTCACTACACTTCAACTTTGTAAATTTGACAGCAGTGTGTCTAGCTAATCAATGTCTCCTGTTGTTTGTGAGAGACTCAGAGGCAGGTACTGGATTAATTCACGGAGGAGATGGAGCATTTTGAAATGTGATTGTAAAGCCATAAATTGGCTGGAGGGACTCAGGGGCAGCTGTAGAGTGTGAAACCACTTTGGATTCTTTTCTACCAGCTGCCCAACCTTCAAGTGACCGTGTCCCACTGAACTGTCCCATTTTATGAAACTTTCCAGTGTTACATTAACCATTTAGGAATAACCAGCCTTAACGTTCTTGGCAACCTGAGCAGGGAGGGAGATCCGGAACAATGTTAGCTTTTTCCTGGGCATTGCATGGGGCAAATCAGGTTCTGGTTAGCACCACGCCTGAAAGGTCAACTGCTGAGACCCCTTTCCACTGAAGGAGAGATTGCAAGTAGCCACAGTTAGGTTTACAAAAGCCACACTGGACATGGTGCTCACTGCCCTACTAGGAAAGGACCATACCGCCCACTCCCACTGGGACAGCTTTGAAACCACACTAATAAAAACTGAACTACTGCTTGAGTTAACAGTAGTTTTTGCATATACTGTAAATAATTCCCTACAGTTCTACACCAATCCCTGCCCAGGGGATGCTATTACAAACATTCAGCCACCTTTGAGAAAAGCATAGCGATTGGTTAGAATACCTGAGGGAGCTAAATCTTTACTACAGTTTAGAAGCAGGGTTGGGGGAAGAGGGAAGTACCAGATCCCTACTAGCCCTCAGCAGCTACAAAAGTGATTGGAAGAGGGGCACAGCAGTGAGGTCCAGGACTCACTCCCCCGACCCCCTCCCCCAGCACAGACCCTGCCTGGGGAGAAGGGGAGAGTCCTGGCAATTACTGTGAGCCGCACTCCATGGGCACTGGTTATAGGCTCTATCGATTGTCAGGTGCTAGGTGTCAAATCACCATGAAGCACCACAGCCCTCTAGCTGCTGGAAAGGAGGAGTTTCCTCTTTTCCCTTTGCTGCAGCCTCCTGGTTGCTGTGAGCCACCGGGGGAGGTGTGTCTCCACTACTCCATATCCTCCTCCAGGCTGCTGAAGGAGCCAGGAAGAAGGAGGGATGAGAAGAGGTGTAGCTAGGGAACTTTCTAGGTCTTCCTTTCCCACCAATCACTCCAGCTCCCACTGCTGCTCCTCACAGCCTTCCCAAAACACCACCACCAGGGTATTCCAAACAGCAGCAGCTGTGAAACTGACCCCAGTCTTAATTTCATTCTGCTGCTGCAGCGCAGAGCTAGGGGCAGCACTGGCGCCATCTGCAGAGGGAGGAAGGTAATGCATTGTTTGCATTTGGTAAGCTCTCTTCACAACTCACCAGAAATATTTAGTAAGTGAAAGCTCGTCTGCCAAAATTAACAGTTTATGCCCCACTCCCTCACCAGAAAATGCTTCCATTCATTAAAGCAGATTTTTCTAACCCTGAATTGCAACATTAATAAAAATATTTTTCTGTAGCTTTTAGAAACATCTCCCACCCCTACTTTCACTCTCTCCTCAAGCAAACCGTGCTAATGCATCTGCTCAGCACTTGTTGCCGTTGTGGTTATCCTCTGTCAGCTTGACTCTTCTACTGCCAAGCAGAGCAAGGCAGAAAACGCAGCTCACTGAAGTGATTGACTGGGGATCAGAGACTTTCAAGCTTGTAAGGAAAGTTCTGCTTTTAAAGAGAGAGAGAGAGAGAGAGAGACACAGATTGGCCATTAACAACAAAAAATAGAATTTTTATACCTTGGAAAAGCCAAGTGATCTCGCCAATTCAACTACGGCCTGAGCCAATGGCCACTGAAGTCAATGAGAAGCTGACCACTGAAGTCAGTGGAAACTGGATCAGGACCATATGGAGCTGTGTTGTGGCTCCCTAAGCCACATCAGATGGTCAAGGTGGCAGCTCTATTTGCAATGATTATATTTGAGACACACAAAAAGACAGGGATGCATTCCTTGTAACCAGAGGCAGTGCGTAGCACTTTCCTAGTGCACAAGAAACTACAAAGGCTGCTGACTTTCCACTTTGACCCCCTCTAGATCCTAAAAAAACAAGGCCTCTGTACTTGAAAGGTGATGCCACAGCAATAGTAAATCTCACTGTCCCAGGCTGGCCTCTCCCTCAAATGACTGCATTCAATGTCAGAGCTTTGTAAAATGCCTGTGTGCTTCAGACCAAACACTGATGACTTGTTTTTTCTGCTCAGATTCTAAGATTTCCGAAGTTCTTTATGACATCTACAGCTTGCTGGGTATTTCAGATGCGCACTCACATCCCTATCTCCTGCTGTACTTCACTGCAGGGCAAAAATACTCGCCACGTTTCTGGACTCTATCGAGGAGGGCAGACTAATAGAAAATGTGTGCACTGAAGGCTGCTCCCGTGTCCTCAAAGGACTAATGCTCGCCATGGGGCCTGTTGGACACTGAAGAGTGCAGTTTAAATGGATGGAAAGTTAGAGAGGCTTCCTGGTATTTTGGCTCTTTCTATGCAGAATTGGGATTGGAAGAGGAAAGAATACGGAGACTTGCCTACATCTCTTCTTTACTCAGCAGAACAGCATTTTTCAGTGAAATGCAAAGTCATAAGCAAGGAAGTTTCACACCTTGGGTCAGGCCTTAATACAAAGGCTCACTACACTTTATAAATAGACACATCTGTACAGAAAGAGAGGCACTCAAATGCAGTCAGTAGGGTCAAGCTTTTTAAAAAACCGAGGAGAATTACAAAAAAATATCCCAAACATTTCTGGCTATTTTCCAAAAGTCCAAGCCCTTTTATGCTATTTCTGGAAGCGTCCTTGTCCCCTACCGATTCTGTGTAACACGTCCACATGGTACTAAGAGAAATTATACCACACTGGTAAATATTCTGCTTCCAAAACGCATGTCGCAGGCTGCTCCACTCTTGTTCTAGTAATGGCATGTCAAGTGCGGGAACTATGCACTACTCAGGGCAGAAATGGTCCCAAATCCAGCAACTGCTCGATCACATTCTAGCAGCTTTAAGCAAATGCCCCTTGCTCCTGGCAACGTATACTGCCCTCAGCTTGCACACCGCCCTGCACAGCCAATTATGCAGCCCCCTGCTGGTGAAGATGGTAGTTAGAAGAAATCAGATGCCTTTCGTCTTTTAGGGAGCTGCAGCAGGTTGTCTGTGATTGAAGCGGGATCTTGTGTTACTGGAGTCTCAGAGACAGCCCTAGGAGGTGGGGTGCTAGTGGGTGTGTGAGACCCTCCTGCTGGGGTCTTATATCCAGGGGTTCCTGGGTGTGCTGGAGAAGGGGTATAACTGGCTCGCAGGGCTTTGTCAGTGTATTTGCTCGCAGTCCTATTTACTAGTCGTTGCAACGCTGGTGACATAGCTGGACTCAGTCCTTTTGGAGTGAGGCTGCAATAGAAGCAGAGTAGTTTTAAAAAAGCAAAAGGGCGTTTTAAATAAAAAGCGATGCTGTGTAGCAGGGTACACAGAGCACTGAATAGACACAGCATCTGCCAGGCCCTGCAAACTCTGACTCGCACACTCCCTTCTCCTTCCACTCCTGCATCACTTGAATCATTCAGAGCACAGCTCAGGACAGAACCTGGCCATTCTGCTCTTCTGGCAGCAATGCCTGAACTCTTCCCCCCTCACTTGTGTGGTTAAACCTCAGCCCCGCTGTCTCTCTCTCTGATTAATAGCAGGAGCGCCCCATATGCGAGCAATGCTCCCTGGCCTTTTCTTTGGGTCCACTGAGTCCTCTCCGTCCCCACCACAAACAATCAAGGCCTGGAACTTCTCTGCCTTTTGTGATCAGTTGGGGCACTTACCCTCCTGGAGCAAGGGCAGTTTGGCCTGGGAGGAAAGTTCCCAAAGTACATGCCTCTCCACCATACTGCCAACAGCCTTCTCCTAGAAACTGGCTTATTCACATATAAAGTCTCTTCCCAGCTTGAGTGTATCCATTCTTGCTTCTCAAAGCCCCTCCTTCTCCTGATCCTTGTACTCCTTCTCCTAACCCAAATGCCTTTCCTCTATGCATGCTGGTTTAACTCTCTTACTAGACAGCACTTGCTATTCTTCCCCACTGCCAGGGACAGTTTACTATAGAGAAATCTCACTTGGCCAAGTTTTCCGTGACTCTTCTTAATGCTTCCTGTTTCTTT